CCCCCCCCCCCCCCCCCTTGCCTAGTAGTTTCTTGGATTAAGTTTTTTTTTTTTGTTCCTTATAATGTTGGAATGTCTAAGAGTGTGTTTGGAAATCTGTTACTTTCAACTTAATGCTAATCCAGCACTCTCATTGCCTTTTCCATTTATGCATTGGAATGTGTAAAACCTCCGTTTAACAGCAATCAAAAGGGTTTTAAACACAGTCTAAACTGTTTTGCAACATGTAGTTTCTTGAATTTTGTGGAAATGGTCTTGTGAATGGGTTGTAGATAGTGCTAGGTGCTGTTTCCTGTCATTTCTGAGAAACCAATTATCCTGTTGTTGATTTCATGTCATCATTATAGTATGTCTTGTACATGTGACAGTAGCAATCTTAACGTGGACTTCATAGTATACAAAAAAATGGGTATTGTTAGTTGTAAGCAGTAACATTCAGCATCTTTTGTCTATGCCATATAGATTGAATGTAATGGGATAGAGAAATGATTCCTAGATTTCTAATGACTAATGCCTAAATTGTTCTGTTGTTCTCTTAAGTGCCTTTATGGCATCTTCCTAGTTGAAGATTGTGATTTGCAAGCAACAAATGTCATCATATTACAGTCTGGAATTATTTTACATCTCATTTTTATTTGTCTTTTTAAAGTTTTAAGTTACAATAGTAAAAAGTTTCATTAATTTCTGTATTCTTAAACTTTACAGATTTGGGATACAGCTGGCCAAGAAAGATTCCAAAGCCTTGGAGTTGCTTTCTACCGTGGTGCTGATTGCTGTGTTCTTGTATATGATGTTAATTCAATGAAGTCGTTTGACAACCTTAACAACTGGAGGGAGGAATTTCTTATTCAAGTATGCTTTTATTCCTCTCTATGGAAATTTTCTCAATTTTATTTATTATCGCAAGCAATTTTATACAAACTTTAAGATTTGCGATCACTTTTGCAGGCAAGTCCTTCAGATCCAGAGAATTTTCCTTTTGTTGTCATAGGAAACAAAATAGACATTGATGGTGGGAACAGCAGAGTGGTAAATTTTATCCCCTTAAGTTTGTGATTCAATGTTTCTTTTCTCTTTCTCTAAATGTGTGAACACAACTAAGTTTTTGTGGACAGGTTTCAGAAAAGAAGGCACGGGCTTGGTGTGCATCAAAAGGAAATATCCCATATTTTGAGACATCTGCCAAAGAAGGTATTAATGTTGAAGAAGCATTCCAATGCATAGCAAAGAATGCCCTGAAAAGTGGAGAAGAGGAAGAATTGTAAGTTCTTAAACCTGGGCATCTCTTCTTTCATATTTATGAACTGACCAACTGAATACACTAAGGCACAAAATACAATGAGTTAGATCTCTCAGATTATGATTAATGTTTTCTTATTGAGACAAGTCATTTGTTATGTTATAACTTATAACTAAAAAAAAGGTTTATGGGCATACATTATTAATTGCAAGCTGATATTGTTTGCAAAGTGCATGTTACTGTTTTTTTTAGAGTACTAAAATGGGACATTTTTTTAAATAATCTTGAAAGTTAAGACACAATTACAACTGCTTCAAGAATTAGTATTGGAGATGTTTGTCTATATAATTTCGATTGGTTACTGGTGTGTATTTCAGTTGCAGTATTTCTTGATGATCTTAATATTTGAGACTTGAATTATTCATTCCAATGATATTGATATTTCGTTTTGGGTTTTGTTCTCCTTGTGGTAATCCGTGATTATTGAAGATACCTGCCAGACACAATTGATGTTGGAAACAGCAGTCAGCCACGGGCAACAGGATGTGAGTGCTGAATATATAGGTTTTCTCTTCAATACAAATAAAGTACATTACTTCAAAATGATTTTACCGTGCTTAGTCATTGCTGTCTATGAGGCGTCATTGTACATTAGTGTTTGCTCAAGAAACAAATTGGTTCAATGCTGTACGTTGGGTGCTTGTTTGGTTTGTGATAATCGATCATATCAGTTGTTCTACATGTATGCTGTTCCGATATTGTGAAAGAATCAGTGTAAGATCTTTCTGAAGTTTTAATTTCTTTGTTTCTTTCGTACTCGACATCAACAGTAATTTGTACGTCTATTTTCGTTACACTACAATTTCAGTGATCGACTTTTTCAACACGGTAGTTTGCGATGATTCTTCACGAGTTGATCAGTAATCTCTTGGAAGTATTGAAACCTCGAGATGGTGATTTTCTATAAAATAAAATAGAAGCTACATGGTGTTGACCTGCATATTTTCCGACCGTTATAGTACGAACTATACGTAATGCACTATTATTTTCGTTCGATAATTTTATATTTGGGATTAAGCTTTCTCGTGTTTTTATAAATTATGCCTGCCGTGGATTTTCTCTGGGATTGGAAAAAAATTGGCGAAGGCAAAGTGGAAAAGATCCTTCTGTATAATTACGGCCAATAGTGACCTACCAGGTAAAATATTTTTTTCCCGACATGAAAAATAACTGAATGAAATTCGCACAAAAAGAGACTGGGAAACAAAACAGAAAAGAATAGTCACTAGTTATAAGTATCTGCTTCTTGGTTGACATATAAACCTGCAAGCAACAAAGAATACAAACTAGAGCATAACCTACGAAATCGGAGAAGAAATTAGGAAACCCAATAGTTCTATGATTATATACATCTCATGTCATTGGTTTTTAAATTTGATACTTGAATTTATATTTTAAAATTTTAATATAAGTAAATGCCGAGTAATTTTTTTAATTTTTATTTTTAAATATTTTTGTGATATATAGTGTTTGTAAATTAATTGTTTAGTTTATTTTTATTTTTAATCATGATTTTTACTAAATTTAAAATGAAAACATATCTTGTAAGTACTTATGTAATAATACATCTAAACGTAGAAATCTTATAAAATTTTAAACACTTATAACATAATATAGTAAACCTAGTAAATACAAAACTTAATTAAAGCTATTATACCAATCAGGCCTTAAATGAAAGTTTAATAAAATGATCAATTTAAGTTCATCAAAAACTACATATAAAAGGAAATAAAAAGATAAAATTAATTAATTTATTCTTTTGAAAGTTAAAATTAATTTATCCATCATTTAAGAATATTTTCTCATTTAACTCGTTTAAAAAATTATTTTAACTTGTCGTAAACTAATTTATTGTTTGTCAAAAATAAAAATAAAAATAAAAAAAAGCCAATTCATTTTTGTTTTTTTTTTCCTTATAAAATGCTTATTGAAAAATTAATTTTAAGTGTTTTACATCAAAACTCATAGAAGGCATCAACAAAGATCCTCTAAAATCCACCGAAAAGGGAGATGTGAATGAATACAAAGAAATACCATACACAGCACAGCCAATTCTTGATCATTGCCAGACTACTATATATTCTTTATGAAGTCATCCAAATTTCAATATGCTTTCATCCAATAATTTAGTGAATAGCATTGAAGTTAGAGGATCGAACGCGCACATTTTGCACAACTATCCACTTGTTTTAAGTCAAACACCTCAAATAAATTTCAAAAAATCGCTCTACAGATTCAAATATATCAGTAAACTTCCGTCCGCTCATCTCCTGCTGCTCCTTATAACGGGGAAAGGATGAACTTCCAATCCAATATTCTGCTCACCGAATTCCCAACACTTGTCAATTTGGAGTTAGTCCTAACCAGCACTTCACCTTTGAAAGAATTGACTGGATCAAATGACCATGGGTTAATAATAATGTGAGCAAAAGGAAAATCAACAAAATGAGAATGCATACTCACATTGTCACAAGATGGCGAGAGATCAGTAAGTATTAAGACAACAACTTCTTTTCCATATATGTACTCGACATTTATTTTGTCCCAACAGAAGAAAGCTTTTCCTGGTTAGATGGTCGAACTGAATTTCCTGCTGCAGTTGAAGATGCTAATGGGTTTTGAAGAGTAGTAGCCACAGTGCCTGCAGGTCTAGAGATTAGTGGCCTTTGAGGATTCATCATCATTTGTGGTCTTGGGAATGAGTTTGCAATATTCGTAGGAATTCTACTGGTTGGTACAGATGGTGGTACACCTCTAGATGAGGAAGCTGGTAAACCAAGCCGTGAGGCAATTATCAAAGCACGCTCATGATAAAGCTTATGTCGTGATCTCTCTACATGCTCCCTTGCCCTCATCACCACATTCTCCACATCATTGAAAAATGCCAACTTTGTTTCCAACTTGTGTAACTGCAAGTAGACAGAATTTACCAAGAAAGTCAGGAGAAAAACATGAATACAATGCAATAAGACCTTTACCAGGCCATGAGATTACCTGCTTTTCTATCAACAAGGAAGTAAGATGTCGGATTTGGTCCTCTTCCTGATTTGCTAGAAGTTTTGCTTTTACTGCTGCTGCAGCAAGTGTAGAAACTGCAGCACGTTTCAGTTTCTCAAAATTACTATCCTGTTTAGTATTCATACCATCGTCTTCCACTTTTGCTCCATTATCAGCATGATCTTTACCTGACCCTGTATGTTGATTTTATTCACGTTTGTGGATTAAAATAGGAATATCTAAAAAGACTTCTCAATTATTGAGTTAGACCTTAATTGCCTCTGGTAAATCTCTAAATACATTTTATGAATAACTACAGCATTTCTTCTTCCCTTTCTTTTCTGTGTATGTGTGTGGAGAGAGAGAGAGAGAGAGAGAGACCTGTATTTGAACCATTTTCAGCACCAGAATTTGATCTAACTGGATTTGAAGGTGACATCACATCTACATCTTTTTCGGTCCCATTACATTGGGATGATTTTGATGCAATTAGTGGCTGAGAGTCAATCTTTTCCGATGGCAAGGAATTAGAAACTCCATCAACATCCATTACTGAGTTTGCTGTTTCTAGTGATTCACAAACTGGATTTGTAGATTCTGAATTTTCAGGCTTGCTCTTAGCTGGGGGAACAGAATCAGAAACCACCTCGACATTTTTTGATGTCTCTAATGGCTTTGAATGCTCTCCTGGTGAACTGGATTTAATTGACTGACGGGGTTCTTTCTTCTCTGGTGGAAGAGAATCAGACGCATGTCCATCCTTTACAGAATGGGAAGGTTCTTCAATTGAAGTTCCCGCCTGAGCCTTGTCAGAACTAGGTGGAATTTCAGCCTTGGAAGTTGAAACACCTGAATTTTGCCGAGTGCCTGGTGCTTGATCATTGGGTAGCTTTGCATTGTTGGGATCATTACAATTGTCAGGCCCACATTCATGATTAATCTTTGCTTGCTCTTTTGAGGAAATTGTTTTTTCTGAAGCTCCATCATCTGTAGAAGCTGGTTGTCCCTTGTCTTCTGAAGCATTACTTTCAATGTTCATATTATTTTGATCGTTTGGCAAATCTTTATCATCCAACATCGGTTTATCTTGTTTTACATTTACTTCAACCTGATCTCCCTCACTTTTAGAATCCCTATAACCCATTCAGACACAACATTGTGAGTCCCGATCAACAACAACTGGACTAGCTATGGAGCTACAAAAATGAAAACTCTCCATATAAATCACATACCTCTCAGAACTAGTAGGTTCCTTCTTATTGTCTGGTGGACCTTCTAGAAGAAAGCAACACCTTGCAGCAAGCTCGGTGCCAGGAGAATTTCTTGACATGGATTTTATAGAGCTATGAGCTGAAGCAACAGCCACATCAGAACCCACCAAGTGTGCAAGGAAAGTTGCCTATCGAAGAAAGCAACATAATATTACTTAGAAGAGGGAATGTGTTGGACTGAAAACATGGAAAATATATACATGAAATGACACAAGTTAAGAGAAAGATAGTATATAATGTAGTAATCATTATTTAACAGTGTAATAACACAAGCAATTTTGCAAGGCTTGTCATCTGCAAGGGACAGTCATGACATAATTCCCAACCAGCCTAACAGACTATGAAGCACCAACTCTGTCATGGCACATATGTATTATATATAATTAACATGACAAAAATGTAAATTGAGAATTAAGATTTATATTTTCACCATCAAAGTTGTTGAGCTGTACAATTTTTATGACAATAACCCTTAGAAGAAGAACCATATCACTTAAAAGTCAAAACAACTAGTAATTCCTATGAAAATAAGTCTTGCAATGTTTATGAATAAGTTGACTTTTTAAATCTTTTATAATAAGGTGTTGGCTCATGTCTAAGTTGTGTTGGAAAGGTATACGAGTTATGTCAAAGAGGTTTCTAGGCTGTGTTGGAAAGGTGTCCGAACCAAAAAAATAATCATAATAGTTGTAATGCAGTAGAGAAGTGTCGAACGCCTGTCCGAAATGTGCCAAACACACCAACACGGTATTCTATTCATGTCTGTGCTTTATAGGTATCAGACTTACAGGTAAATATAATAATGAATTCAAAATTATTGTTCTGAAGATAGGAGAGTTATATTAAATAATTCAAACTAGAAATATCTAGAATCAAGTGTTACTGTTCACACACCAAAGTATATAACTTACCAGTGCCATGACAGGATTACCCACTTCAGCAAATGAAGAAGGGCCTTCAGGTCCAGGAGAATAACCAACTGCTGCAAATGCTTCCTTAAGAGCATTTATAGCACAGTCATTGCCTGCTTCCTGATCAAACTTCACCTTAGCAGCTTCTTCTGATTTAGATGTTCCCTCGCTAGCTTTCTCATCACTGCCTTGTAACTTTGGAGTCTCCTCCTGATTCACATTCACTTCAACATCTTCAGCCTTGGAAGCTTTATCATGGTCTTTGATGCCATCATTAGTATCATTCTCAACACATTCTGAAGCATCCTTGTCCATAGATGAGTCATTGTTTGTGGCAACTGGATCCACAGTTTCTTTACAACCAGCATCAACATCATCACCACAATCAACAAAGGTATCCTCAATGGGCATTTGAACAAAGTGCAATATGCACTGAGCTTTTGTTTTCGTTCCAACATGTTCTGCAATTTCATTCCAATTTTCTTTATAAAGTTCTAATGCTTCAAGGAGCAAAAGGGTCTCTTGATCAGTCCATTTTCCACCATTAACCCCTGCAACTTCAGCTGGTTCCATGAGTATAAAGTCCAATGAAGACATGCCAGAGCCAAATCTTCTATTACTAAAGCAGTCGGTACATAGGTCAAAATCTGCCTGTCAGACACATCACAGAATTGATAAAATATACAACATGAAGTGGAAAAGCAAATTAAATAATCATGCACAACCACATTCCAGCATTGTATTAGTGATAATTCAACTAAGAGTGAACAGTTAAGCAGCCTGCTGCTAAGTAAATTACAGAAACCATTACACCCAAAAATCAAACAATGACCTTTTAAATCAGCAAACACCTGGCCTCTGTACATGAATGATTCATTTGTAAGTTCACTAGTATTTGAAAATGTTTCAACTTTCAAAAACTGACTGTAGTTGTTTCACTGCTCTAGAAATGTTCCTTTATGGTTGCCATTTAACAAAAAAAATTATTTTGAAAAATCTAATTCATTTCAGAAAAAATTGTAAATTGATTCCATATCATCAAACAACAAAGGTAATCAACAGAAAACATTTTTTAAAAACAACATTAAAATGCGTTAATAATTTAACTCCTCACTGAAAGAATGGGATAAACTACCAACATACCAACCAACGGAAACAATGCTACAACTTTTATAAGAACACAAGTTTGGGACAAGATTGCATCGAGTAGTATACGAGGAATAATAGATAACTATATTTAAAGTTAACCATATCATCAGCATATCAATTGATCACTTATTCAGTTATAGATATCAACCTGCTTCTGGCAATGGTAACGTTTGCGAGAACAATCAGCAGAACAAGAGTTGCAATGGTACTCAAGCATCTCAACTGCTGGCCCCTCTTGTTTCACCAACTCTTCAGTAATTGTGGACTCTGGAAACAAGCCAGAGGTCGTAGCTGGAGTCATTTGGCTAGACCTTTGAACAGGAGGGCGTAATTGAAGAGTTTCAAAGTGATATAATTTTTCAAGCAAAGAATTCTTTTCTGCTTCCCCATCATCAGCGGCAGTGACCGCAGCAGAATCCATTGAAGGGAATGGGTGGAAGTTAATTAAACCCCAGTAGTCCAAAAACTCCATTACCTCTTGTCTAGCATCCAAGTCTCCAACATTAAGCTCTGACATATCTTTCAATTCAATTTGAATGTTTGGATTTGAATGAAATTTCTTCATTATCCAATTCCGTATCTCCATGTATACATCAGGAGTCCGATTTTCAGTTTTGTCATTAAAGAAAGAAGGCAACATTCGCTTCTCAATTGAATGGATATGTGACCATGAAAACCAACCTGAAATTGCACCAATGGAAAAATGGGTAATTTCGGGAATTTTTTTTACCTTTGAGTGAAAACTTAAAATAAGTTTCTTGCAATTAAATATTGATCCAATGGTAAATCAACCATTGGGAGAAGTTATGCATCAAGCATTTGCATAACAGTATTACTAGTACCCTACTAGAAAACAGAAGCATTCTACTCACAAGTTACAACTACACGATAAAAAGATAGTACTTACACTGCAGTCTATTAAGGCAGGGAAAACAATATTGAAAAGATAATTCACTAGTTGAATAACACTTTGCTAAGTCACATTAGGCGAAGGTCAGCTTGGCCTAGTTAAATTTCAGATGTTAGAACAACCACACACAATCCCCCACATCAACCCTCTTCTAATGTAATTTAGAAAAATACCCGAGTCTTCAAACAACTACACATACTGAGGGTAACGTAATTTAAATAGCAAAAACCAGTGGAATCAGGAACAAGAGAAAACTGCAAATGGTAAAAACATAACCGGACATAACCTTTCATGCACAATTTAAGCCGAATCACTCGTTCATTGCAGAACATCAACTGAGAAAGAATCGCATAAAATCAAAGACACAATGTGTTTCACACTATTCACTGCAATTGAAGCCCTAAAGCTAACCGCAAGCAATTAGGGTTTCAGAAAAGGCCCAATATCTCACCGCAATGAGTGGGAACCACGTGCGCATTGGCACCGCGAGATCTGATAGCTTCGAATTGAGCTTCAATCGCAGCCTCGAGAGTCTCCCACTCGCTCTCCTTCTTGAGCTGCTCCGCCAGCGCGGCGGAGTCGGAGGAGTGGGCGAGGGCGGAGTGTTTCACGGCGGAAGGAGAGGAAGCGGCGGCTCCGGCGGAAGAGGAGGCGGCGGCGGCGAGGTTGCTAGGGGTTTGGCGAGCCCTAGTGAGGGGGCCATTGTGGAGGGGAAGAGGGTGGAGAGGCGAGGCCTTGGCGCGTTTGGAGGGCGCGGAGGAGGAACCGGAGGCGCTGAGGGCGGAGGACTTCCTCTTGCTGGCTCCGGCGCGGCGGCGAGACGATGCGGGCTCCGATGCCGGCGAATCGGCGGCGGAGGGAGCGGCGTCGCGGCGTTTCTCCTCCATCGAGACGAGAAGGAGAAAGAGAAAGAGAGAGGCGTTAGGGAAAAAAAAAATATTTGGTTTAGTGTAACTGTGCTGCGCTTTTCTTCCGAACATATACCTACGTCATCTCATCTCAATTCACAACAAACCCTTCTTATGCTTCCCCACTCCCTAGTCCCTATGCCTATGCATTTCTCTATTCCATATTATCATTTACACTCTTCATCTTCACTATAAATTAATAACTAACAATCTCTTAACAAAATTGTTAAAATAGCCATATTACTTTTATATATTTGTTAGGAGTTCAATTTCTAGTTATAAAGAAGGAGAATCCATTCTTTACATCTATAAACAAATTACTCTCTAATTATTATTGTCTATAAATCAAAATTTAAAAAATTCTTTAATTAATATATATTAAGTAATTAACATTTTCATCTTATAATATGAGGTGAGAGAATGAGGTAGGATTTTTTCTTCTTCTAGTATTCTAATTGGTGACAGACCTCTTACTAATCATGCAAATAAGAATGGTACAAAGCTCATTTCATTTTGTGTCAAGTTGATTGGGAACCTCTACTTGTTCTAAAGGAAAGAGAGATTTCTTTTGAGTGTAATCTTTTAAAAGTAGAGTTGGCTGGTGGTAATCCTTTACCATCTAAAATTTGTATGAATGATAATTACTTTAAAGAATTGTGTGAACTATGGCTAGGAATCCTAATTATCAACCTGTTGGAAAAAAGTATTAAATATCCAATGTTGTCTAAATTGTGATTTTGGAAGCCTAATCAGGGTTTTGATTGAAGGTGTGTGGGGCACAAATATTTTATGGACAATTTGATTCATCGAAAGATTACTAAAAAGTGATGAATGGAGTTCCATGGATGATTTTTTACTATTACTTGATAAATTAGACATGGTTGCTAATGTTTATTGTAGAGGCTGAGACTATTGATAGCACACTTGTTGGATTAGATTTCCTAGTTTAAAAAAGATGTACTATGATGAGTTTTATTTTGGGGCTAGCTCTGTCTTTAACAAGCCAATTAAGGTTAATTCCAACATGTTTAAAGCAAATAAGGGAAGATTTACATGTGTTTGTGTATAATTAATCTCCAAAAACATGTTTTTGGTAGAGTTAATATTTGCTGCCATTGGTACCATGTAGAGTATGAAGGCATGCACTTGTTGTGTTGTTGTGATCATTGAAGAAAGGGTTGCCTTGTGAAACTATGAAAAAAAACACGAGAATCACTTAATGGTAATACTCAAATAGGAGACATTTCATAAGGTAACAATACATTAATTGTGGGACTTGACAATGAAAGTCAATTACCTAATATATCGAGTAATAATGACTTGGATATTAATGGTAAGAAGAAGCAAGTTGATACAAATGGAGATTGAGACAAAGTGCAATGTAGGAAAAAAAAAGAAACTAGAAATAACAATAAGAGAATTTTAATAATGAACAATTTAATTATAGTTTTAATATGCACCAATAGCCAAACAATTTTGGTGACATTAATTTGAAGGTAATGAAGACATTTAATGCCCATGATTCAACCAATAATGAGAACAATTGTTCATATCATTGTGCGCAAGACCTAAAGAGAAAAAGTCTTTGTAATGACTCTTTGCAACTTGTAGTGCATGTTAAACAATCTCCCCTAGGTAAGTAACAAATTTGGACATCCAATACCATGCAATCATGTACAACCCTAGTATCAATATTATCATACTTGACTCAAAATGATTGGTTGAGTCAACAACTAGTCACATATTAGATTAAATATGCTTTTGGACAGGTGTGAACCAATTTGACTCGAGCAAATTTGAATGAAGACATTTCCAAATTTTTTCATAAAAATGTTAGATTTAGTGTATAATTGAAATAAACTAAGTCCTCTAGGCTATTAACAAAAACTTTAACCATTGATAATATATATATATAATAATAATAAACCAATTCATGTGGTTTATCTGATAACCCACTAAATCAGTAATATATTGTTTAGGCATATGTTTAATAATGCCATGCACGAAACTTGTGTAGAGTGCACTTTGATCGTTGTCTTTTTATTGTACACTTGAAAGAGTATAGTGTCACCAAGCATGAGCATTCTTGGAGATTTCTTGTTGTTTGGTCTCACAGTGAGGACTTTCATGATGTGGTGAAGGAAATATTGGATAAATCCATAACAAAATGTTTTCAAAAAAGTAACAAGGGTTAGATCTCCAATCTCGGCCTTAACTAACATTTTCATCAATATTTTTTGCATGAAAAATAAAAGTGGAGGGGAGACTTAGAGGTATCCAATAGAAAATGGATACTAAACAGGGATAAACATGGATTAGGTTGAGTCACACTTATCCTTATCCTTACCAAATCCAATTTTTTTTACTGTACTATTTTTTATAATTCAAACTCAGTTTGATTAAAACTTGAAAATATATTGGACAACGTCAAATCGACTTGACTTGAATATAATACATTAACTTTAACACAATGTATAGTTAAGTGACAAAATAAAAGAAGTACAAAACTTAACTCAAGGTATATTTTATAATAAATATTTCAAATAAGCAATTTCATTATAAAAATAATATAATATAAAAAAATAACTTAATCATTTTTTATTCTAAATGCACACAATTAAAAAAAAAATTGAGACAACACTATATATAAATTGGGTTGAAAGACCTTAAAAATAATATAAATCTAACCTAAAAAAAATGCATTGAGTCCAATTTCAAAGGCCAAACCCATCAAATCAACTTTGGAATGGATTTAAATCAAATGTCTTCACTCTAACTAAGGAGATCTTGTATCACCTTATCTATTTGTCACTTGCATGAAAAACTTTCTATGTATATTAAGCAATTGGTGGATTATGGAATTTGTCAACCCAATTCTATCTCAAGTGGTGACTCAAGCATCTCACATATTTTTCTCTATATATGGTATCCTTTAATTTTATAAGGAAAATGAAACTCAAGTTCATTGTTGATCCATTGACAAGTGTACTAATGTCAACTTAAACCCTTTAGCTACTTCATTATGAAGAAATCAAATTCGTCCAAGTCCTTGAATTTTCACTTAAGCGAATTAAGGGTGAGAGAAACTTCCAATACATAGCAAAATTCGTTAAAGCCTTTTTATTTTTTTCTTAATCTCTTTTGAATTGACTTAAATTCTCCCAAATTTACTTTAGACCTTTTGAAGCAGTGACTAATCTTCAATTTTGTAGTTTGACTTAAGCCTTTTTGGATTAACTTGAGAAACAAAGTTTCTTCAAAAAAATATTCTACAACCTTTCAATTCTCTTCTCTCCTTTTACATTTTTTCTTTCCTCTCGTCCTACAAATATATAGTCATGATTAATTACTAAAATTGATTACTAAATCAAAAGATTGGATCTTGATTTAAAAAAATAATTTACAAATATATATATGAGAATTTTTTACATATACTGATATTTAACAATTATTATTTCTACTATATAATTACTTTTATTAATAATATCAAAAGTGAGTATTTTAAATTTAACATATTAATATTAGATTTTAAAAAAAAGTTATACAAAGTTATTAAAGAGGTTATAAAGATTCAACGAAGATTCCTTTGGAATGGTGTGAAGGAGAGTTCAAAAATTTGTTGGGTTAGGTGGGATCAAGTCTGCAAGCCTACAAAGGAGGGAGGATTGGGGGTGAAGAATATTGAATGGTTTAATATAAGCTTATTGGGAAAATGGGTGTGGCGGGGTTTGAAAAGTCCTAAGTCTCTTTGGTCTCAAATTTTATCAGCACGTTATGGTTGTATGTCTATTCTTTTGAGGTCTCATGTGGTTCATCCAAAAGCTTCGGATTGGTGGAAGGATTTGGCCCTTGTGTGTCAACAAGCGAATGCATGGTTGGATAATAACTTCTTGAGAGTCGTTGGAGATGGAGGTTCGGTGCGTTTTTGGCATGATAGATGGGTGGGCGGGGTTATTTTGAGTGAGACTTTTCCTCGTTTGTACTCTTTGGCGAAAAAAAAACAATCAACAGTTGGTGAAAATGGACTGTTTGTGGAAGGAGGGTGGCAGTGGGAATTTCAGTGGCGGAGACGTTTGATACTTCAACGGGAAAAAGAGTGGGAAAATGAATTAGCAGAATTAGTTGGTGGGGTGGAGTTGCAGTCAAATATACCCGATATGTGGCTATGGAAATGTGATCCATCAAAGGCTTTTACTGTAAAATCAGCATATTTTTGGCTGCATTCCTTTTTTTCTGCAGGGAATGTTTTGGAGACAATTTTAAAACAAAGTTTTCGATGCATTTGGAAGGTAAAAGCTCCAAAGAAAACTATTGTTTTTGCTTGGCAATTATTGTTGAATTCACTACCAGTTCGAGCAAGTTTAGCAAGGCGTGGTATTCCTGTTAGTAATGTTTTTTGCGCTTTATGTAATAATGAGGCAGAGAACGTTTGTCATCTTTTCTTACACTGCAGAATTTCATGTAAAATCTGGTATTTGGTTCTTCGTTGGCTTGGTATTTCAGCGTGCTTACCTAATGCTTTGGATGAATTATTGCTAAGTATGGATGGATTTGCATGTGTGAAGAAGCAGGGAAGGATATTCACAACTATTTGGATTTCTGTTATATGGAGTTTATGGCTTCTTAGGAACCGTATTATTTTTAATGATGGGGTGTTGGATATAATGGAAATTGTGGAGGCCATTAAATATCGATCTTGGAAATGGTTGTCTGTGGATTTGAAGAGAGATCAATTATTGTATGTTAATTGGCTTATGGATCCTATTTCTTGTATCAAGTGTGTATCCTAGTTCTGTAATTTGTAAACAGGGTGGAGTAGCATAACACTATTCGTAACTTTTTCTATTTCTCAACATTTCTGTATTTGGGTTTGGCACCCCTAGTGCCTCCTTAATACAAATTTCTCTTAGCTGATCAAAAAAAAAAAAAAAAAAATTTATAGACGAGAAAGAGTATCAATCTTTGGCAAATATATAAAGGGAAGAAACGAGAAATGGTGGTGAGTGGTGTGAAGGATGGCAAAAGAAAAAGCAAAGAGGATAATGAGAGGACAAAATTAGCAATAGTATTGAGATGAAATCATGGATAATTAATCATGTGCTGTCATGGCCAAATACTGTAGGC